GAAAAAGCAACATAAATCCCCGGCACCAAATGGGGGCAAGAGCGACCATGAAGACAGAAGCTCTGAGCCGATAAGTCTCGACAAAGGCAAACCGGCAGATCGGCCAGAGTCCTCGGAGAAGCGACATAACCAAAAGAAGAAGGGATTCGACCTCGAAGAACTACTGGATCAAGCCGACTCACCATTCACGGAGGAGATCATGAGAGAGAAGGTCCCTCCATAAAATTCAAGCTACCCACGGTGAAACAATTCGACGGTGTCGGAGCATTCGTGACGCAGTTTGTAAGGGGACGGTGTCGGAGCCGGCCCGTGGCCTATCTTTTAACCATTAAACAGAGGACGACAGAGAGTCTGCACGACTATGTAACTCGGTTCAACAAGGAGAAGCTGCAGGTAGAAGGCCTTACAGACGCTGTATCTCTGCTGGCCTTCATATTCGGCGTCAGGGATGAACATTTGTCATTTTCGTTCGGAAAGAGAACACCGAGTACCTTCTCGGAGGCACTGAGCCGAGCTCAAAGGTACATGAGCGCTGGTGAGTTCTTTTACTCAAAAAGGGAGTCAAACGGAAAGCGAACTGACCAAAAGAGGGAGAGGTCGGGAGATAAACCGCAGGGGTCGAGATGGGAGAAGAGGGATCGGAGTTGCCAGAAAGATCCACCCCAAAAATTTGAAAAGTATACCTCGACCACCGTTCCACTCGAGCAAGTGCTGATGGAGATCAAAAACCAAAGGTTGCTTAAGTGGCCGGAAAGGATGAACGCCTCGTCAACTAAGCGAAGTAAAGGCCGATATTGCCTTTTCCACTGGGATCATGGCCATGCAACTCAGGATTGTTTTGATCTTAAGGAAGAGGTGGAAGGACTAATCCTAAGGGGCTACCTTAAAGAGTATGTAGAGGAACCTAAAGCGACACAAAACGGCGAAAGCGACAAGTCTCCCGCTCGAGAGATTCGAACTATAATGGGAGGCCCCATAGAAAGAGAATCTGGGAGAAAAAGAAAACCAGATGTGCGAGAAGCTAGGGCGAGTCGCGAGCAAAATGAGGTCTACCACGTGTATACTACAAACCGACCGGTGACGATTGAGTTTTCAGAGGACGAGGCGACTCACCTCCTTCACCCTCATAACGATGCACTGGTTATCACTTTGAAGATAGCAAATGTGAGAGTACATCGAATCTTGGTGGATGGGGGCAGCTCGGCGGATATCATCTCCTGAACAGCCTATAAAGCTATGGATCTAGGAGAAAAGGTGCTTAAGAGCAGTCCAGCACCACTAGTAGGATTTGGAGGGGAACGGGTCATTTCATTCCCGAAGGGAGGATAAAGTTGCCTGTAACGTTCGGAAGTGGGCCGAAGAGCGTCACCAAGATGGTAGACTTTTTGGTTGTTAACTACACATCCTCCTACAACGCAATATTGGGAAGACCGACAATGCATATGCTCAAAGAAATACCATCCACATATCACCAATCCATGAAGTTCCCAACACCGGGTGGGGTAGGAGAGATTAAAGGAGAATAACGAGTGTCGTGGGAATGCTACTATACCTCAATGAGGGACAACGACAGGACTTCTACTAAGGGGGCTGTTGACTTTTCCTTTCTTCCTTCAAATGTGGTTGTTTTTTGTTTCTCTACTTTTAGCAAGATTTCTAATTATTATTTCTTTTGTTCAATAAAGTATCCATTTGTTTGGTTCTCTGTCAACTATATCTCTTAAATCCAAAACGAGATACCGAGCGACTTTGATAAAACACTTCGCCTCGTCTACAAGCGTACTCTAAAAAGATATCGACAATACACTTGAAAGTAGGGGCAATAGGTACCGACTATGGCTACTCAGCGACGTAAGCTTGGTGAATCCAACTCTACACGGCGACGGTAAAACCAGCTATAGCCAAGCAGGCCGAGTAGGGCTCGGGACCGACCACTGCTCGGGTCCGACCGCTGTCAGCGTCGACCAAGTGCGAACGGGCACAAATCTACACTAATCGGTGGTTTTATGAGATAACCTATTTTTGTCAATAGGTCTTATTTTCGACTGAGCACGGCTCGGGTCCGACCACCACTCGACGCCGATCACGTGCGACGAAGCATGAATCTACTTTAATCGACACGTTTAGAAAGAACAATTAAACAATCTCAACACGGCCAAACCAGAAGCGCGTCGATTGACCTAGCACGGTTAAAACATGAGATGGAGTAAAAGGCAAAAACAACAGCGGGTGTAAAACCATTGGCTATGACCAACGGGTTAAAAACCTACGGAAATGAAAGCAACAAAACTCCATCAGAGTTAGAGCCGTAAGCCAGTAAGTGACTAGTAAGAGGGTTAATTGATGATTCCAAAGAAAAGAAATACAAGCAACGTAGTGACAAAGCACATAAAAGTCAACTGTAAAAAGACTCGCTCAAGCTACCCTATTACTCGTCGTCGTCGTCATCCATGTCGTCAAGAGCGTCACGCTCGGCCCCTCCCGACCCGATGCTCGGCCCACGGCCTTCCAGCGATCCTCCGTCTTCAATCCACGATTTCGCCCAGGCCCTCCAACGGAATTAGGGTTAGCTACGGAAAGTTCTTGAACAACCTCATGGCTATAAGTAGCGATCCAGCCTTAGAGGTAAGGGCATCTAGAAAAAGTTGACTACATTTACGTTATTCTCTTGCTAACTTAAGCATCGGAGCCCGTGTGACTAGAGTCACACCGGTTTAGCTCGATTTGGTTTTGCAGGTACTAGTCCCGGATCAACAAGTTTGGTGGGTGCGAGGAGGAGAACCGGAGGACCAAAATCCACGCATCAACATTTAACATCTTTCTTCAATTTACTCTTTATTGTTATGTTTTAATAGAGAACTTATGTGACGCAATAGTTATGAGTTTGGTATAGCTTTTCTTTCTTTCTTGAAGTTAAGATATATATTGTCATGGTTGAGACACAAGAGGGTTGATTTAATCAAGTTTGAAAACAATTTTAAATGAAAAACATTGTTTGGAAAAATAATTTTTAGTACAAGATTTAAAAAAAAAAACAGAAAATGGAAATAAATTGTTAACATATGTTTTAGTCGCTAATATTTGAGATCTTTTTTTGATTTACTCTTTTTCTTTTTCTTTTTTCACTAAAAAGATACTGCATTAAAAAAAAAAGAAAAATAGACCACTAAGGGATACATCTGGGGACCATGCACCACTATTACAAATCCACGAAGGCAAACAATGGCCATAAAGGATGGAGAAACGATCAGAAATGGCAAACTTGGCCAATAAAAACATATTGTTTGTTCAAAAAACTAGGAATATAAACAATTTTTAGCCCACTGAACACCTTCAAAATCAAAACATCCTCAACCCCATTAAATGGTATCAGAGGAGACTTCCCAATGAATGGAGACATCTTGTCAATTATGACACCCTTATTCAAAATAAGAAGGAAAATAATTGTCTCCAAAGTCGCCTTATTCTCCACCATGAGAGGTAAGGAATGATTAGTAAAATTCTATATATAAAGCACCTTGGTCACAGATTTCAATACAATTAAAATTGATATCCTCCCCAGATTCTAAAACAGCGTTCTACCCGATAGTCGTTGTAACTACACCATCGCCCACCTTCTGCTCCGACACCCTTGCCCCTAGGCCACGAAAGTTCTTTGAACCAAGATACAACAAAGATTTAGAGTCATCCCAAGAAATTGTGGTCGGTGTCCTCTCCAATTATGTGCCTTATAACTCTTAAAAATTTCCAGATGCCAAAGCCACGAACCATACATAACAATGTTGTCTATGATTTGCCACAACAACACTATCAACATCCAACAGGGAGACCCCCAACACCCGACCAACATCTGCCATCACAGAAACCAATATAGAAAAAGGATCCTCTTCGAAAATCACATCCATCATAGCAAGGGAGGTCCCTGTTATATTTCGATCCACGACACTTACTTGTTGAAAATGACCATGAAAGAACCGAAACAAAGCATAGTAATACACCCTCTGAAAAAACTCAATCACACACACCCTTCGTGGGGTGGAGAAGGAAAGGAGGGGAGTAGGACACCCCTCCCCATTTTAGCTCAAACAATAATCAGTCCCCTCTTGATTGCACATTGTTTCGATTTACTATTTATTGTAAAAGATTTTAATTATATGTTTCAACATTTTAGGTATACACTTTATTGTTAAATTTAATTGATGGAAACTTACCTGACATAATACTCCTGGTGAGTTTGATATAACTTTTTTATTTTTATTTTTATTTTTAACTTTTTTATTTTTATTTTTAGCACTCTTTTTAATAATATTTTTCCAAATGTTTAAATTATAAAAGTGTCAATCACTTTAAATATACTTTTGGGTAATCATCTTTCATATGTTTTTTCAAAAACGAGTTTTTAAACCATCTCATTTTTAAAATATTTTTTATTTATTAACAAAATATTGTAGATTTAAAAAAAAACTAATTATTTAAAAATCACTAAGAAAATATTTTACACACTCTAAATTAATATTTTGGAATTCCAAAATGGTAGAAAATATGTTTTTATTAAAAACAATATATTTATTAAAAAAATCATTTCAAACACTTTATCAATGAGTTGACAAATTTTTGGAAAAATAAGTAGCCGACCAAGAGAGAAAAAGATCGAGTTTTTTTTTTCTTTTTTTATCAACTTCTTTATTAGAAATTTGAAGTATGATGTAGAAAATTCTCTCTCTCCGAGATGACCTCAGGATGCGTTTGGTTGGTGATCTGAAAACATGAATCTGGAAACCATCGATTCAATGAAAACAAAGGTTGTATTCTATGAATCTAGTATTTTCAAGAATGTGTTTGGTAGCAGATTCAAAAATTGAATTTTGATTTAAGGATTTATTGAAACTGTGTTTGGTATTGTATTCACTATTTTCAAATATGTGTTTGATAGCAGATTCAGAAATTGAATATGGTAATGTACTCAAAAAATAAAATACGTCACACGATAATCTTTTGGTTGGATTTGACCAATTTTTGGAAAAATAAGTAGCCGACTAAGAGAGAAAAAGATCGAGGTTTTTTTTTTTATCAACTTCTTAATTAGAAATTTGAAGTATGAGGTAGAAAATTCTCTCTCTCCTAGATGACCTTAGGATGCGTTTGGTTGGTGATCTGAATACATGAATTTGGAAACGGGCGATTCAATGAAAACAAGGGTTCTATTCTATGAATCCAGTGTTTTCAAGAATGTGTGTTTGATAGCAAATTCAGAAATTGAATCTCGATTTAAGGATTTATTGAAACTATGTTTGGTATTGTATTCACTATTTTCAAATATGTGTTTGATAGCAGATTCAAAAATTGAATATGGATATAAGTTATTGAAATGGTATTTGGTAATATACTCAAAAAATAAAATAGGTCACACGATAATCATTTGGTTGCATTTGAAAATTTATTGATAAATATATATCGAATTGTAATAATTTATTCAATTAAATAATTAAAATTATTATTAAAAAATTATAATTTATACAAATAAAATGAATGCATAACCCCTACATGTCGGAAGAAAAAAAAGCATAATATAACATTGTACATTCAATGGAGTTTTTACCACAACAATAATAACTATAGTCATAATGTAGTCTTCTACATAAAATTGATATAATAGATTAAATATGACATAAAATTTTAAAGTCTGTTCTATATAAACTAATAGAAAGGAGAAAAATATTAATACATACTACATGAAAATCTTAATCTCTTATGTGTTACAATAATCCAACACATGGTACCCAATGTCATCCCTCACGCCATTCATTATTTGACTTATATAAGCTTGACTTAAGTTTATATCAAGAAATTCTTGTGTCCTATCCAAACTTTTTTCTTCAGGCACTTATAAATCAGAAACCTCATACTCCTCAAATAAAGTATCTCTTGTTAATCAATTTTAAGATGGGCAATCGAGCCTTTAGTACATCAAAGCAATGTTCAATCACATTACGTAATGAGGAGTATCTATGATGAAAAAATTCTTGTGGCCTCGTGGACGTCTTCATCTTCCTCTATAATCTCTTAAATGATATCTCTAACTACGATATGGAGCTAAGAAATCAGGCATGTTTGTATATCAGAATCTACTAATATTTTCCTGTCCATTTGAAATAAATTTATTATTATATGATATTAAAAGAAAAAAATTGATATGCAGTATATTAAAAAAAAAAAAAAGA